AATCTTACATGCCCAACTTGAGGTTAGCTCTCATCATATTTTTAACAATGCGTTGCGTCAGAGTTTTGCGGCCGGGGAGTTGATCAATCTTGGCAATCATCTTGCGATCGGCAGCCCATTTATCTTTCAAGAGTCTTTCAAGTCCTTGGCCTTGCCATAGTCAATGTTATGGGCTTTGGCAATCCTGTCTAACCGGTTCATGCCTGGATCACCGCGGGCCAATCGTTTTTCCAAATGGGTCCCAGGTCCCATGTACTGATAGCCGGGCCAATGAAACTCCATCCTCGTCTTGGTCAGTAACTTTTGCACATCAAATAACTTTCCCCCGCGTTGCGACCGTCGTCGTCTTCGTTGCCGGGATCGGGGTGCAGCACGGCGTCTCTGGGTCCGTCCCATCACGGGGTTTTCCACGTTTTCCACTCCAAGGCTTTCCTGGCCAGACTTTTGCCTTTCTTTTTGGCAACAGCAGCGGCTTTCTTTATGATTTGACGTTTGACAGCTAAACTGGGGGTATTCCAAGATTTCGGTGCATACGCCTCTAAAAATGCGACTCCTTAGCCAACTCTTCGATGCTCACCTTGGGCGTAAATTGAAGTTTCTTTTTGGCACTGGGGGTGATGCTGGGTTTGGGTGGTACTGGCGGTTTTCTGCCTGGTCTGGAGGGTCGCTCAGGCTAGGCACTTTGTTTTACCCCCTGGGCCGTCTTGACCAATTGCGTCAACCAAGCTTGCACGGGACCAGCACCAAAATCGTCCCCGCCGGGTGACGAGGCAGGGGCGCCCGTTGCGCGCACGCCACTGACCGGAGCACCAAACGGTTGGCGTACGTTTTTGGTCCAATGGCGTAATTGACGCCCCACGGCTTTGAGTTGAGGCCGTTTCCAAGCGTCTGGGACATCACTGGCCAATAACACGCGTTGTTTGGAGGCCAAATCCGCGGCTTTGGTCAAGCGGTTATCTTCCACCAATTCTTGTTTCTACTTGTCTCGTAATTGCAAAAAAGCTGGGGCATTGTCCACAGTGGTGCTCACCTTCTCTTGCCCCATGGTGCAACTTAGGCTCTTTGTCTAACGCATGCAACGTTGATGACATCGGTATAGTTCGGGTCAGAGTTTCCCTCCTTTTTGAGACATCATGATAGCGCGTCGTCGTTTCACCGAATGAGTGGGTTTGGCATGGCTCGTAAACTCTGGGCATGGGGTTTGAGCAACGTAATTGTGTGTCGAGAACGGGGCACGGTTCCACCTATCGTGTTCATGATTAATTCACTGATCGCATTGATCTGACCCGCATTGGCCATCCGTAACAATTCTTGTCGTTTATGTTGATTCGCTTCTTGTGGGACGCTTTTCAAGAACGGTGCTTGACGTTCCATGCGCCACTCCATGATGTGTCTTGAGTTCAGGCAACGACCAAGGTCTATTTATGGTAAAAATCGCCTTACACCTGCCACACAGTTCGCCATGATAATGCTTTTGCTGGTGATCTCGACACCGTTCACACAGGACCACTTCGTACTTTTCGTCCCAGTCCAAAGCAGAGGTGACGGCTTTTCTTTTTTTGGGATAGTTCACTTAGACGTCGGTGAGCCCGCCGTTGGCGTTTCTTGACCGCCCAAGGCGAGAAAGCCATCGCCAACATGGGTAGCACTCCTCCACGTTGCAATCCACGTCGCCGGCGTGGTTTTCTGGGAACATAACGATGTCGGCGTCCATTGGGTCCACGTACCATAATGAAATTGAGTCTTTTTCAAAACGATGAGTTTCTTTTATAGCATCGTCAGAGAAGCCAATGGAGGCGCACCTGTTCGGCGTAACATCCGCTGAACTCGTCGTTTATTGGCCGCCCATTGCGCTGCACTGATTTTTCCCACCCGTTTCTTCTGCGTAGCCGCTTTGATGGCTTTTTTCGTGCCGTATCCCGAAGCGCCGCCGATGGCCCAGTTGCCGCCGCTTTGGCTGCAGCGATGACGGCGGGAATGAGGAACACTGGGAGGATACCCCATCGTTGGCGTTGTCGTTTTCGTTTTCCGCGGTTCATGATCATCCCTTTTCTGTAAAACAGAGGGACGCTACTCCAATTAAACGATTCACGCGCATATCGTTTCCGTTTGCCTTGTTCCACTTCACGTCGGCGCTTTTCGGCAATTTTGATAGATCGCTTGGTTTGATGATCCCCTAAGGCTTTGGTGATCCCATAGCCGGCTTTGCCAATACCCACAATGAGACCCGGCGAGACACCCCCTACTTGACCATAGATCATACGCTGTTGTCGTTTGGCGGGTTTACGACTTAGTTTGCGTTTGGCAGCAATTTCGTTTCGACATCTGCCACACATGTCACTAGGACTTTTTGATGGATGAAGCTGTTTTTAAATCTTTTTTCACGAGCGTCGACCACGTCCGCGCGCTTGGCCAAGGCCACGGCCACGTCCTCGGCGTGGTGGTGTGAAGGGTGGACTTGGACTGGAGGTTCAAGTCGAGGTGTGGTGCACAGAGGGTCTCCCTCCGCCATCTTGGTAGACCGTGGTCACTGTATTGGTATGCGTGATATTTCGAATGCGCCTGCCTCGAGCACGTTGTTGAGCATCTTCATTCAGCAAATCCAACCTTCGCCGTAATCCCTTCCGTCGATCATCGTCATCATCGCCATTGTCATCCGACGGTGGAGGAGACGGGGGTGAGGACGTCGTCGTGGTTGTTTGGTAGCGATTCTGGGACGTGTAGTTGGTGTCGTCACGGTCATCGTGGTGGTCGATGTCCCTGCTCCTGCACGTCGACGGGCGGGTGCGGTGGTAGTGGGACGTGTCCTGGTGGAAGTGACGGGTCGTGGTCGGCTGGTGGACGGTGTGGGTACGGTGGTGGTGGCAGTGACAGGACGTGTTCGGGTGGACGTGCCGGGTGGTGTTCGCATGGAGGTCGTGGTGACGGGTGGTGTGGTAATGGTGGTCCCGGTGTGGTGCCCACACCTGCCACAGGGGGTAGACTGAACAGATTCAACGCATCGTCCACATTGACCGGGTAGGAAATATTAAAATCTTTAATGTCCTGGTCCAATTGGGCTCGATCGACCGGTCTGGTCAGTTCTGTGACCATGTCCGTCAGGCTGCTGATATCCAAAGGGGGTGGCGCCGAGGGGGAACCCACGCCTGCCGGAGACATGGTCGGGGTGTCCATGCGGGCCGATAAGTCAGTGTGTTGTCCTCCTTCTCTTTGCCGGCGTTGAATTTCGCGTTCTCGTTGCAGCACGTTTTCGAACGGCAGGGACATCCACGGGCAAGGTATGGACTTGCGATTGACCTTCTCGGGGCGTTAAATGACTCCAGAATCGGTAGCGATCATCCGAAGCAGGATGGACATCCAACATCAAATATCCAAAAGGTCGCGACGTGACGCATTTACATAGGTTCGAGACTTGACGCCAACGGTCGGGAAAGGCTTGAAGTAAAATGGTCCGTATGCCCGTTTGATCCCGTGGGTTTTTGAAGGCCACAATGTAATGGGCATTGCGATTAATCGTCTTGGAGAATTTGCCAGGTGGGAATAAATCTTGGGTCAAATACAGCACGGTAATGTTGCGATGATCGGAATCTTTGGAGAACAAATCCAACACGCGTTGATCCTGTCCCTCTTCTTCCATGAAATCGTCCAAGACCAACACACCCCCACGCGCAGGGCCAAGCCATTTGGTCAAATTACTGGGGTCCGGTAACCCGCGATGGAATCGAATGCCATCCTTTTTTGCATACGGTCGAACCTAGGTTGCCATCGGTCAAAAGCGTACACCATGGTTTTGGGTTTGACTTGAAACACGTTCTGGTACCGTAACCATTGTTCCACCAACTCGCTCTTGCCGCTGCCCGAAGTTCCGGCAATGATCACACTACTGGGTGTCGGATCATCGTTCCAACGGTCGAGGAAGACGTCTGTAATGACCCGTGGCACCTTTGGCTCCCATTCGTTTATACCGTTTATCGCGTCCCAATTTATAACCGATTTTGGCCGTTTTGGCCAACACCGTCATGATCCCACGCCCGTTTTCACGAAATTGGGGTCGTTTGGCCGGAGGGTCGTGGTACAATCGAGGGGACGCGGACTGAACGAGGTATTCCATAGACTCTCTTAAATACGTTTCACCCAGGGCGTCCATGTACGCTTTGAGGGAAACCCATTCTCCTTCTTGAGCCATTTGTCGGGCCAACGTCCAATGATACGCATTCCAAGCACCAATGCCTCGGACGGTTTGGACCCGTTCGATCGGATGCAACCACCAATACAGGGTTTCTTCTAAAATAAACGCATCAATCACGCGCTGTACATCGACGAGTCTAATCATGATGAACAATGACACCCCTTGCGACCTGACGCGTCTTTTTTATGCATCCACCACACACACACACACACACACACACACCATGATTGACAAGCGTTGTTTTATTTTGGTACCATCATTCTGTGAAATTTTTCCGACCATCAAATACCTTGGAGGTGAGAGAACAAGAAAGTTCGTCAGAGGGCCAGGCTTCCTCGTAACGGGGAGAGGCGGCGAAAAAAAAATTCGAATCATTCGCGGATTTTAACTGGTGTGGACCCTCCTTAAACGTGATAAAAAGATGCCAATCAGGCTACACAACCGAAAGTGGAACGATGAAGCCCCATCTGCTGTCGCTCTTCTCCCTGTGCCAGCATCCAAAAGCAGATCTACGTGCAATTGTTGATACTAAGAAGGTACGCGTTATCCCAGTGTCCTTGGCAAGCGACGGGACGCCTCTGAAGCCTGGTCTAGAATACGACCCACGGCAAAAACAAGTAATTGGCCTTACGGATAAAATGGACGAGAAATCTGCAAAAAAGCATCCTCTTCCAGACCCTGAAAAGATAAAGAGCAATCTAATTACCAGTGCAGACGTAACAATTGCGACCTCGTCTGATAACGGTGCCGCAATGCCCGTGACGGTTTTTTCCGACCCAAATCGGTGACTGGAGAACAAATATTTTCCTGCATGAAAGATAGCATTAGAACCGTACAAACCTGTGAAAATTGCTTGAAAGTTCAGCGTAGTGTTAAACATATTGTGTCAAATGAAACCTCATATTGTTTAGCAATGAGCAAATGCGAGGAGTTCCTATCATCAAAATCGGTCTGTGCGACCTGCAAGTACAATGGACAAGTTTTTCATATCCCATCGTTAAGGGCATGTGACGCCTGTTTAGATAGAAACGTGATGTGTCAAAAGTTAGTCGTTATGGCAGTAGCAACTGATTGCGAGGAGTGCAACAAGAAGGCGCTTGTTTGCTTGAGTGACATAGCAGATAACAAGGAACTACCATCAGAATTAGAATTAGTAGTTTCCTTACCAGATGTCGTCCACGTAGGAAAAAGCTGTAAATGTAGCTGGTCTAACTGGTTTATCAACTTAGACGGTGAACTTAGTAATCTTGTGTTACTTCGAAGCTTTCGTGACAACGCAGAAGACTTCATTAGAAAGAAGCTTCGAAAGCTGCTTTCGCTTGATTGTGTTAGGAATAAAGACAAGATGGCTGTCGAACCCATTATTCGTTTAACTCGGCCAGACGTTTTCAAAGTGCTGCAGGACGTTACGTTAGTTGTACACACTATTGTACCAGAACAATACAGGTTTTGGAAAAGCAATCAACGAGGCGTATGCCCTCACCCAATCTCTGTATCCAATGGTCCAACGAGCTCAATCCTTGCTCTTGACTACAACTTTGAGACATTTTCATCAAGACTCTTAAAAATAAGACTATACCAACCAGCAGATGTTTCTGTTGTGCGAGACGGGATGAGCGATGCTAGGGACCTGTGCTTCATTGATGGGATTGCATTTGTGTGCAAAAGGGGAAAATCAGCAATTTCTTTTGTCGACTTTGACGGAAAAGTAAGAATATGTACAAAATCACTCAAGCGAAGAGCTGATTTTCTGAGTCACTTGAAGGCACTATCTCTTTCAACAGAAGGAACGGTTCCCGTTTTGCGCCAAAGACTGAACGACCACTTGAGTTCCATTTCCAAGAGCATCGATTCTGCAGAACACGTCCAGATACACCCTAACTGTCAAACTAGGCCTTCTGCCATCTGCGCTGCAAACAATGATTTGTTATTTTGCAGTGATGACGAGAGTCAACATGTCTATCAGGTAGCATGAACATTCGATGGAGTGACCATTCATGGCAATGCAACAAAATTCACTACCTATCCATCTAGCATCGTGAATCCTTTGTCTATTACCCTACTTTACCAATGCGCATTATTCTCAGGAGCCTCAAGCCAAGGTGGGCTTTACAAATGCGAACTTTGCTCAAATACTGTGACCCAAGTGGTACGTACCAAGTATGTACCTTGAACGGGAAGATAGTTTTTACGGACGTAAAAGCAGGAAAGGTCAAGCAGTACAATCCTGATGATAACTCGGTTAAAGTTTTGGTGGGAAGTGGACACAACAGTTCATCCGATGGGACACAAGATTCGTGTTCGTTCAAACAAATCAAGGGGATTTGCTCTGTAGACAAGATTTTGTTTGTTACAGGTGTTTCCGCTGGAAAAGTGAAGATCGTGACAAGGCTTGGAGAAACGATATCTTTTCTGGAGATTCTTGGCTCCCTTTACGATACGTTTGGAATTCATTCTAAGGGCATGAAACCTGAAGAAGTGTCCTTGAAACAAGTTCAACAGAATGTCACAAAAATCGACAACTATGCAAGGGTTACTGTGAGTAAGGTTAAGGAACGTTACCAGTTGTCTGAAACATCTGCAACGAATAGTCCACAGGGAACTGTGTCACAGAAGACTCAAATGTCTGTTTCTTTGCTGAAAAAAGGGATGGACAGACTGTATACGGACGTGATGGACGTTAATCCAGAATTTGCGGCGACATACTGCTGGAAACGCTGCTGACAACACAAGTTGAAAACCTGCATGTTGTCTCACACTTCAAGCATGAGACATTTACGGTTCTCCAGTATGCCCAGGATTTTGGTACAATCGTGAAGGAGTCTATAAAGCGTACATCCAGATGGGCAGCAAAGTACTATACGCATGACAGGTCGTACTATCCTGTCCCTCAATCTGCCGTGCCCCTTTTAGCTGTTGCAACGATGGCACTTTTGCCAAGTGAAGGAATAACACCAGGTATGGAGGAACAGATAAAAGAATGGTTAGAGAGCTACAGACCAGTTTTATGTATGTAAATGTATGTATGTATGTATGTAAATCTTTATTTAAACACGGGAAATCATCAGTTAAGCTTAAGTTAAAAACTAAAACTAATTACAACTGCTTTACATGATTGCCGTGTGGGAATCCGATATATCAGCTACCTTCTTGATATTTCGCTTAAAATGCTCAACGGATGCAGCGTTTTTTAAGTTTTTGGGCAAGTTATTCCATAACATGGCCCCGCTGTAAGAGAAGCTTCGTTTCAAATAATTGGTGCTTGGTTTGGACAAGGTCAGCCTTCCCTCAGAGTTTCTTAAGTTGTAAGCAGAGTGACGCTGAGAGAAAAGACTTTGCAGATATTCTGGAGCAAGATCATTCATGGTTTTATACATCATTACAGCACCCAAGTATGACATCTTACGCAAGATGATCTCATGATCAATGGTGTCGAATGCCTTAGTAAGGTCAATAAAGACAACGCCATTTAGAAGGCCATTGTCGATGTTTACTGACCAAGCATTTGTTGCCTCAAGCAAAGCCGTGAGCGTACTATGTAGAGAAAGGAACCCTGATTGGCAACCTAGTAGCAATTTATTATCATCCAGATAATGGAAAAGTTGATTATAAACAATTCTTTCAAAAACTTTCGAAATTATAGGGATTACAGATATCGGCCTGTAGTTGTTAGGGTCCGATTTAGTGCCCTTTTTAAAAAGTGGAGTCACTTTGGCTGTTTTCCAATCGTTTGGATATATCCCAGTGAGAATAGACTTTGAGAATATTGAGGTAAGAGAGGGTGCGACGATATTAGCAGCCATTTTCAACAATTTACTCGGAATCATATCAAGACCGGTGGCTTTCTTTTCATCAATTTTCCACAAAACGTTAGAAACAAAATCAACACTCGCAATTTGCAGAGAAAACGAATGATCAGTGGGCTTTAAATAATACTCAGGATTAACATCGACAACAGGAATATCTTGTGCTAATACTTGCGCAACGTTTGTAAAGTGATCGTTAATAGTTTCCGCAATGTCCATAGGGTTACTTGCTGTTTTATTATCTACCTTGATCTCTAAAATATTCCTTGACTTACCACTGTTACGTGAAGTTAGCTCGTTGATAACATTCCATGTTTTGCGCAAATTCACAATTTGTTGGCTTCCAGGTTGTCAGAAACATAGAGTTTTTTTTGCGAGTTTAATTGCGTTATTTGCCTGGTTTCTTGTACACCTAAATTGATCCCATATAGCCGGGTCATGGGAGGAGATTGCCTTCTTTTTAACGAAATCTCGGTTTCGGATTTTGCTCAGTAACTCTCTAGTAATCCATGGAGATCGTTTTTTCCGAATACTTTTGGATTTAAGTGGTGCGTGTTGATCGACGCAGCCAAGAAACATTTCTTTCCATACACGCCACATTTCATTGGGATCAGAATACAAATCAACATTGGCCGAAGGTAGTTGATTGAGGTCATAAGAATTTTCCTCTGTTAAAGTGTTTAAATTGCCGTGTTTCAATCACGCGAGGGCCAATACGGCAGTATTGAGTCTTACGCGACAAAAAAAACAAGAGAATGATCACTTATGCCAAGGTGAATGACACCGGAATTTGTAATCTTATCTGGGGAGTTCGTTATACATAAATCAATTAATGTTTTTGAGTTCTGGGTGACACGTGTTGGTTCAGTGATTAACTGACTAAGACCATATATATCGAAAATGTTTATCAGATGGGAAGAATTGACTGTAATTGCTTCAGGCAACAAATTGCAGTTGATATCACCGAGTAAATATAATTCCTTATTTTCCGCGTCAATTTTAGCAATAACATTCTCAAATTCGCTAAATAAATTGGGTGGAGAACTTGGGGGTCGATACCAAGTACCGACCAGAAATGGTGTACTTCGTGGCTTACTGATTTCAACAAAAAGAGACTCTAAAAGATCATTATTTAAATCATTACGTATTCGATAGTTCAGATTAGCGCGTACGTATGTACATACTCCACCTCCATTCCTTCCGTTAATTTTACGATCTTTTCTGACTATTTCAAAGCCAGGTATGTAAACTTCGTCATCACGTACTGTAGAGTCTAATTTTGACTCGTTGATATGTAAAATATCAACTTTTGAAGAGGACATAAAAACCCTAAGTTCGTCAATATGAGACAACAGACTATTAATGTTAAGGGATGCTATAGCTAAACCTCGACCAAAGATTGTGGGACAGCTGGACTTACCGCGGTCGGTACCCTTATGGACATCAGCCGAGTCGGATTCCCAGACGGCAATATCCTAGTCTACACGTAAATGGTTAATGAAGTTTTGAGCTAGGCGCGTGGTGCCTTTCTTGTTTAAATGAAGACCACTTCGATTTAAGTGGCTAGTTATTGAAATGTTAGAGTGGTCAACAAAACCCCAGTTCTTTTGCTTGCAGCATTCCTTAAGAACTTTGTTCACGTCAGGTACTTTACATGCAAGGGCTTCATCATCAGATCTATTGATGAGACAGGATATAGATATCATAGCTGAGGATTCAGAGCTGACTGCTTCGGCTAGGTCAATCAGTTCTACTACACATTCACGAGGAGTATTGGAGGATCGTAAACTATTGGTTCCCACATGGATAATTATCTCGTCTGGGTTTCTGCGTAGTAGTGGCTTGATATGATCCTTCATGTCTTGCGTTGTGCATCCCGGAAAGGTGGCTATCTTAACTTGTGAATTCTTGGACATTTTATGGCTTTGTAGGTATTTAAGAGTAGAATCCCCCGCTATAATAACTTTCTTCTGACGGTTGGGCTGTGAATGATCTAGTTGATTTGACGAATTGATTAAGTCAGCGTTGCGCGTTCTGATCTCTGAGGACGACGAAGATGTTCTGTGTCCTTTGACAGCGCTATTCCCATTCTGATTGCTTACATTTCTTTCAATTTGATATTCAACTTGAAGAGGCTCAAATCCGTAACGGGTTTGAATTATATTAGAGGGCATTGTTTTCTGCCTATGTTTTGCATTTGTACTTCTCGGGTGCGGCTTTGCTACGGACCAACGATCACTTGATTGTAGTTGATTGTTTTCAACTTCACTCTTTTCTCGCGTAATGATTGTTAGTGCTAACTTTAAAGAATCATTTTCTTGCTCTAATGACAGAACTCGGCTTTCAAGGAGCAAACATTTTTCTTCCAACTCATTAGTTGCATTGTCGTTTTTAGATATAGTGGATAATAACTTTTTACACTTCTTTTTGTAGTCGAGGAGCTCGACACCTAAGGCATTTCCATCTTGTTTTTGAATATTTTCCATCGACAGAAGCTTTGTATTTTCTTGAACTTGCTTCTGAAGGATCAATAAATCGAGTTTCAATCCCTCAATATCGGCAATGATTTCTGAATTTGGTCGCTTTTCAGAACCATTTAGCAGACTCTCACCTTCAGTCGACGTTTGAAAATTACTCTGACCACTGTCGGTCTCCTGCAATAGCGTAGACGGCTGAAACGATTGTTCGCCAGAGCTCGGAGAATCGGCATCCCGCGTTTCAGTTGTCTTTCTCGGTTTCTTGTGAATTAATTCTATCAGCCTATCCTTTAAAGCGGGACCATCGCGGCCCTGAAAATTCAGAGTTTGTTGTTTCTTGCTGTACCAATTGATGATAACATTGCCGTTTGAACATTTAAATTGCTTTGTATTCCCACCAGGCGTTAGCCACTTTCCTTGCAGTTTTAAAACATTTTCCACGAATTTCTTTAGAGATTCCAAGTCATTCATCCATACCAACTTTCCGTCATTAAGATGAAGATACTCTAGCTCACAAGACTCTGGATTGAGCGAGGAGGACTCGGTTTCTAAGACATGAACAGCATCAGCATCAGAGCTACAGATTGAACGTCCGTCCGCCATGCTTGCTTGGTACCTATGGAGTGAGACAACAAATGATAAAGCTGGTGCCTTGCCGCCTGCTGTCTACGCTGTTCAACCCACCGGGAACGAGTCTGACGAGAGACTTCGATTCCATGAGGAAAATGATATCATTAAATCGAATTCCGTACCACAACCAGTTGTCAGTATACAATTTGTGGACGATGGGGATGTTTCTGAGATGATCGAGGATCACAGAGAGGTACAAACTGATGAATATGAGACAGATTCTGATAACGAAGAAACCGAAAATGAAGAACATCTAGAGCTTGTCAAGAGAGCGTGCACTACCGAGGGTTGTCCAATACTGTTGACTAGAATCCAGTCGTATCCCTTTGCTTTCCATCGGAAAACCGGAAGTCTTGTGGTGTAAAGTCCTACCAAGTGTACTGGATCCATTGGACACGAATAGATTCCGATGGAAAAGTTCATTTTCTATTCGTGAGGGACTTAGAAAAATCTCACTCATGATGGATCAGGGGGTGAAAAGTCGTTCCGATGGAAAAGCACATCAGATTCTCATGTTGGATGAGGGGGTGGAAAGTTGTTCCGAAGGAGTCCATCGGATCCATTGGAAACGAATAGATTCCGATGGAAAGTACATTTTTCTATTCGTGAGAGACTTAGAAAATTCCACTCCTGTTGTATAAGGGGGTGAAAAGGAGTTCCAGTGGAATACATTGTATCCATTAGATTCGAATAGATTCCAATGCCTGGAGAAGAACATTTTCTATTCGTAACGGCAGGTCAAAAATTGTCATCATGTTGAACAAGGTGGAAAAGTGTGAAACGGAGTCTACTGCATCAGTCTTTCGCAGTG